GCAGGTGAAGTAACTCTCGACAAGTTGGCATGAGAAGTTGGCAGGTGAAGTAACTCTCGACAAGTTGGCATGAGAAGTTGGCAGGTGAAGTAACTCTCGACAAGTTGGCATGAGAAGTTGGCAGGTGAAGTTGGCAGCCGCTTTTAGAAGAAGAACCCTTCTCAACCCCCTCTCACCCCCCCTCCCTCCCTCCCACCCCCCACGCCCCGCCCCACCGCCCCCCCCCCACCCCCCCCCCCCCCCCCTCACCTCCCACCCCGGGGGGGCCCACACCCGAACCCTTCGCAATGCTTCCGGGAAAAAGACGAGCCGCCCATTTGGCTCCGACGCGCTGCTTTTCTTGACTCCGACCATCCCAGGAGTTCCGAGGAGTGCCGATGCCCTCGACACTGATGTTCGATTTCCCCACGGCAAAAGAGCACCTGGGCAGAGCGAAAAAGCGCATCAACCCGTGGTTGTGTGGGTGGGCAAAAGGCAGGCAAAAGGCAGGCAAAAGGCAGGCAAAAGGCAGGCAAAAGGCAGGCAAAAGGCAGGCAAAAGGCATGCAAAAGGCAGGCAAAAGGCAGGCAAAAGGCAGGCAAAAGGCAAGAGGCAGGCAAGAGGCAGGCAAGAGGCAGGCAAAAGGCAGGCAAGAGGCAGGCAAGAGGCAGGCAAAAGGCAGGCAAAAGGCATGCAAAAGGCAGGCAAAAGGCAGGCAAAAGGCAGGCAAAAGGCAGGCAAAAGGCAGGCAAAAGGCAGGCAAAAGGCAGGCAAAAGGCAGGCAAAAAGCAGGCAAAAGGCAGGCAAAAGGCAGGCAAAAGGCAGGCAAAAGGCAGGCAAAAGGCAGGCAAAAGGCAGGCAAAAGGCAGGCAAAAGGCAGGCAAAAAGGCAGGCAAAAGGCAAGAGGCAGGCAAGAGGCAGGCAAGAGGCAGGCGGCAAAAGGCAGGCAAAAGGCAGGCAAAAGGCATGCAAAAGGCAGGCAACAGGCAGGCAAAAGGCATGCAAAAGGCAGGCAAAAGGCAGGCAAAAGGCAGGCAAAAGGCAGGCAAAAGGCAGGCAAAAGGCAGGCAAAAGGCAGGCAAAAGGCAGGCAAAAGGCAGGCAAAAGGCAGGCAAAAGGCAGGCAAAAGGCAGGCAACAGGCAGGCAACAGGCAGGCAACAGGCAGGCAACAGGCAGGCAACAGGCAGGCAACAGGGAGGCAGGCAGGCAGGCAGGCAGGCAGGCAGGCAGGCAGGCAGGCAGGCAGGCAGGCAGGCAGGCAGGCAGGCAGGCAGGCAGGCAGGTAGGCAGGCAGGCAGGCAGGCAGGCAGGCAGGCAGGCAGGCAGGCAGGCAGGCAGGCAGGCAGGCAGGCAGGCAGGCAAACAGGCAGGCAGGCAGGCAGGCAGGCAGGCAGGCAGGCAGGCAGTCAGGCAGGCAGGCAGGGCAGGGCAGGGCAGGGCAGGGCAGGGCAGGGCAGGGCAGGGCAGGGCAGGGCAGGGCAGGCAGGCAGGCAGGCAGGCAGGCGAGGCAGCGAGGCAGGCAGGCAGGCAGGCAGGCAGGCAGGCAGGCAGGCAGGCAGGCGGTAGGTAGGCAGGCAGGCAGGCAGGCAGGTAGGAGAGGTGTGTGTGTGTGTGTGTGTTGCTCTGTCATTTTGTACCCCGTTTGGGGTTGGTTGAAAGGGAGGCTAAAAGAAAATCCATGTTTGGGGATTCCCAAATTTTCAGACAAACCCATGTCTGTGTGTCATGGAGGGAGCTGCGTTTGCTAGCATTCCTTCTGCCGATGCCTGAGCTCCAGGTGAATTCAAAGTGTGTTGTGTGTGGAAAGTCCCGGATGTTTGGGGAGTCTCTGCGACTGGCTTCCTCCAAGGATTGCGCAGCATATCAAGGACAACTTCCGCGGCTGAGAGCGGCGCGGGCGATTCGGCAACGGAGCCTAGTGCTTCGTTTGTCTTCCACGTGAAGGACATGGCAAGCTGCCAGGATCCATTCTGCTTCCGGCTGGGGCCTTGTGGTTTGTCGCATGGGGAGGTGTTTTTTCTTGCAGAAAGCTCCAGATGGATGCAGATGGCAGAACATGCGCCTCCAACTCTTTGCGAGGCACTCCGGCTTCCGTTGAAAACATGCTGGGCTAGTCTCTCTACTGGGGGGTGCTTGGCATTTCTTCGCCAGGATCCTTACTTTTCGCATTCAGCTTTTTCCCACCGCAAAGTAGCCAAACTCCTTGCAGCAGACAGCGGAAGGTTTCATATCCAGCATGCAAGGCAGGATCGGTGCAATATGCACATGCGCAAAATTGTTGTTGCTCTGTTCTGTACACATTGTTCTGCCAATGCCAGGGTTCATATTTGGGCGTGTGTCGAAATACAGAATGGCAGGGTTTCCTCTTGCTTTCCCTTCAATACCGCAACAACTAGACCACGGTTGGCCCGAAAGCATAACGTCGCAAGCGAGGTCGGGCAAACGCTGCAGCAACTGACAGAATGGAATCTCGTAGATGCACGAAAAGCTCCCCGCAACTTCTTTCATGATGAGAACTCCTTGCGTCAAACTCCTAGAGGACGAGTGGCCTGAAAGCATAACTCCCCACGATGTGCGGCAAACTTGTTTAACCCCGGCTTGGCACATGCGCAAGTTGCTCTGTGCGAGTTGCAGTGTGTGTAAGTTGCTCTGCGCAAGTTGCTCTGGGCAAGGTGCTCTGCGCAAACTGGTTTGTGCAAGTTGGTCTGCGCAAGTTGCTCTGCGCAAGTTGCTCGGTGCAAGTTGCTCTGTGCAAGTTGCTCCGCGCAAGTTGCTCCGTGCAAGTTGCTCTGTGCAAATTGCTGCCTGCAAGTTGCTCCCTGCAAGTTGCTCTGTGCAAGCTGCTCTGTGCAAGTTGCTCTGTGCAAGTTGCTCTGCGTAAGTTGCTCTGCGCAAGTTGTTCTAGGCAAGGCGTTCTGCGCAAACTGGTCTGTGCAAGTTGCTCTGCGCAAGTTGCTCTGCGCAAACTGGTCTGTGCAACTTGCTCTGCGCAAGTTGCTCTGCGCCAGTTGCTTTATGCAAGTTGCTCCGTGCAGCTTGCAAAGCCCGCCCGCGGACCAGGGGGGAATCAAACCCACAACCCGCCGGTCCCGGGAGCAACAAAAGTCGCAAAAAACCTCGAGTTTTTGAACCTCGACCACGCCGATCCCCGCAGAGGGGCGAGAGGGTCGCGCGAGCATGTTAAACTAGACCACGGTTGGCAGGAAAACATAACATCGCAAGTGAGGTCGGCCCAATGCTGCAGGATGCGTTCTTTTTCCCTCCACGAAGCATTTGTGAAGCAAGCGCGAGACAGCAAGGCAAGGTGCTCTGCGCAAACTGGTCGGTGCAAGTTGGTCTGCACAAGTTGCTCTACGCAAGTTGCACTGTGCAAGTTGCTCTGCGCAAGTTGCTCCGCGCAAGTTGCTCCGGCAAGTTGGTCCCTGCAAGTGGCTCCCTGCAAGTTGCTCTGTGCAAATTGCGCTCCCTGCAAGTTGCTCTGTGCAAGCTGCTCTGTGCAAGTTGCTCTGTGCAAGTTGCTCTGCGTAAGTTGCTCTGCGCAAGTTGCTCTAGGCAAGGCGCTCTGCGCAAACTGGTCGGTGCAAGTTGGTCTGCGCAAGTTGCTCTGTGCAACTTGCTCTGCGCAAGTTGCTCTGCGCAAGTTGCTTTAAAATGCAAGTTGCATCTTGCGACGCCCGCCCGCGGACCAGGGAGGAATCAAACCCGCGACCCGCCGGTTCCGGGAGCAGGCGCGCGAACCACGAGACAACTCCCGAGGACCAGTTCGAACAACAAAAGTCGCAAAAAACCATGGGTTTTTGCACCTCGTCACACCGATCCCCGCAGAGGGTTGCGCGGGCACCGCAGAAATCGCAAAAAACCATGGGCTTTTGCACCTCGACCGCGCCGATCCCCGCAGAGGGTCGCGCGAGCACTCGCAAAAAAAAACCATGGTTTTTGCACCTCGACCGCGCCGATCCCCGCAGAGGGTCGCGCGAGCACCGCAGAAATCGCAAAAAAACACCATGGTTTTTGCACCTTGACCACGCCGATCCCCGCAGAGGGTCGCGCGGGCATGTTGGAAATCACAAAAATCCATGGGTTTTTGCACCTCGACCACGATCCCCGCAGAGGGTCGCGCGGGCATGTTGGAAATCGGAAAAACCATGGGTTTTTGCACCTCGACCACGCCGATCCCCACAGAGGGTCGATTTTCGTGTAGTGTCGTCGGCACTACCCCGCCTCCCTAAGAAGAGATTTTAACTCCTCGCAAGTCAATTGCACTTGACTCCTTGCACTTGCAACTTGCACTTGACTCGCACTTGCAACTTGCACTTGACTCCATGCACTTTTGCACCTGCACTTGCACTTGCAACTTGCACTTGACTCCACTTGACTCGCTTGACCTCCTTGCAATGACTCCTTGCAATGACTCCTTGCAATGACTCCTTGCAATGACTCCTTGCAATGACTCCTTGCAATGACTCCTTGCAATGACTCCTTGCAATGACTCCTTGCAATGACTCCTTGCAATGACTCCTTGCAATGACTCCTTGCAATGACTCCTTGCAATGACTCCTTGCAATGACTCCTTGCAATGACTCCTTGCAATGACTCCTTGCAATGACTCCTTGCAATGATTCCTTGCAATGACTCCTTGCAATGACTCCTTGCAATGACTCCTTGCAATGACTCCTTGCAATGACTCCTTGCAATGACTCCTTGCAATGACTCCTTGCAATGACTCCTTGCAATGACTCCTAGCAATGACTCCTTGCGATGACTCCTTGCAATGACTCCTTGCAATGACTCCTTGGACTGACTTTCATGATGATGATTCCTTGCAATGACACCTTGTAATGGCTCTCACGAGAACAACTCAAGTGAACCCAGCGGAAGAACCCTTCGCCATGCTTTCGGGAAAAGGGGACTCAAAAAAGACGCCTTCAAATACAATGCCCCCCTTATGGGTTGTTTCCAATGAGGCTTGTCACCCGCAGCCCTTCTGCTCGCTTTGCGCTTTGCCCGCCCGATTTGCTGTCCTCACGCCATGGCTCCTGCACGCAGCTCGGACGCACATGCGCGGTGCCGCCGGCGACAAAACCCCAGATGGATCTGGTTCGGGTTGCCCTCAAAGAAGAGAACCTCCACTAAGTCGCTGGTTTCCTCCGGTAAACCAGCGCCAAAATGGGCACTGCATCCAAGAAAAGAGGCACCTGGTTCGGTGGGGACTTCCTTCCAGGCCCAGGACCAAGCATGACCTGGTCGGACTTTGGAGAGCTGTCCGCTGCTGGCCCTGTCTAGGTCTGTTTACGACAGTATGAAGTCTGGACAGCTTTACGGTCTTCCTACTTGTTGGGGTACTTTTCTGGTAGGCAACTGTTTCTGCCTATACGGGTCGTGTTTCATGAATTTTAGATTCCAGCGCAATCCATCACGTAAGTGTTGGAGCGTCCGCAATGACGCCTGCCTTACTTGACTTTTTCATCCATTGCGGCAGCCCAGAATGGGTACTCCGCCAATTTGCTTGTTGGAAAGGGCCACTTTGGGGCTATGTTTGGCTACACGCCGTTGACAAGCATGCAAGAGCAAGCCGTTAGTAATACGTGTGTCTCTTTTTGAGGGTATCTTGTGAAGGTTGGTTTCAGGAAACCAAAAGGAAGCCACTCATTTGTCTTAGGTGGAGACGAGACACATGTGGCCCACCTGTGAGTCTTCCTGTCTCGGTTCGGTGCCCAGAATCATCTGCCGTGTTTCCAGACACACCCTCCCAAATCGATCGGTGCTTCTTCTATTTGCAAAACGCGCGATCCCAAGCCAAATGGTGTAAGTGGATAGATAGAGAGAGAGAGAGAGATAAAATAGATAGCTAGGTAGATGCCCTGTTGGCCAGCTAGCTAGATCCATAGATGCATAGATATGTCGATTCATTTGTCAGATAGATTGATAGATAAGATGAGCTGAATGGAGATACATGAACAGTAGTCTCCCGCAAAACGGCTTATTTAGTTGAGCAGTTCCCTGCACCCAGACTCTCAATTGTCTTGACCCATTCCCTGCACGCTCCAATTCGCTCGCCGCCCTGCTCGAGGCAAGGGAACCAAGCGCGCCGCGCCGCTGGGCAAGCAGCGGATCTTGATTCTTTTCAGGGGGTGAAGGTGAGAACCAGGAGTCACGCCTTGGGCCAATTCTATAGGGACTTTCCTCCATGTCCCTTTGCGACACCTCCAAAAGTCGCACTTTCAATGAACATTGCCAGTGCCCCTGCTCAACATAACACTTTGTTTTTGAGATACCATCATTAGAGGTCCCTCTTGTTAGTTGTCAAAGGGGGCGATCGGATGGTTCTCTTCAACAGATCTGCGCAGGGAGCGCTTGGCTCTTGGCATTTGGGTGTTGCTTTTTGACAATTATGTTTTTTTGGCGGGTTTAAAAGGAAAACCAAAAGGAAAGCCAAAAGGGAAACCAAAAGGACAATTTGGGTTTTTTCCATCAAGAAAGACACATCCAATTCTTAGCTTTCTGCTCACGCAAGGGTTGCAAAATGAGAAGCAAGGCAGTTGGTCTGGCCCTTTATAGGTCCCTTACAAAAAGGGTTCCGGAAAGACGGACGACATATGTATATTGGATCAGTACTGGATTTAGCTCCATTTTGTAGGGCTTTTGGTGGCGGGGCAACCATCCAACACCAACCCCTCGCGCAAAACCCAGCCCAAGCCAACCCGTCCGGCGTGATGACAAAGCCAGGGCGTTTTTTTTTTGGGGCCCCTCTCCTTTGCTCCAGCCACATTTTCTACCAAGGCCCAAACCTGTAACTGTAGGCTTCGTGAGTATGTGGCTATGGGCGGTTTCTGGGATTCTCCCCTTTTCGCCGCCGCCTTTTCGCCTTTTCGGCTTTCGGCCGAGGCAGGCTGCTCTGGAGGAGCCGTTGCACAAGAAGTTGGCGCCGGTGCTGAAGAAGCATGGCGTGACCCAGGCCGGCGAATCAAAGACACCACAGCGGAGCACCCCCCTTTATGGCTAGGGGAACCGGTTTTTCCACAAAGCCTTTCTTCGACCTCCATACATATGGCTATTTGGTCGGGGATTGGACTTTCATTCAAAGCTCTTGGAGCAAGCAGTGCTTGGGGAAAAACCCGCCTCCGAGGTCCCTGAAACCGTTTGTTTGAGGGCGAGCTTCGATGCGGGGCGCTCGCTTTGCTTCACTCGTGCCAGGCCTCCTTCAAGCAGATGGCCGAGGCGACGTAACAAAAGGGGTTCAGGGCGCGCCCCCCAAACGGGGGCGTTGGTCGTTTTTCGCCTTTCTCCGTTTTTGGAGTATCAGGGCTCACCGGATTTCCCCAACCAAACTCAAAAGTTGATCAATGAGGCGGGTTCCGCTGAGATTGCCACTTTTGATTCCAAAAAGTGAAAACGAAAGGACAAAAGAAACACAACCGTTGTGAAGGTCCCCTATAAGAAAAACAGACTCTAAAAACACACCTAATTTTGAGACGGACACCGGCTGAACCTTTCCTGGTTTGGGGGGGTGACCTTTCCAGCAGGTGCTGGAGCATCCGCTGACGCAGCTGCCTGAGGCCGGTCAAGGGTCAACCAGCCCTTTGGTTTTTTCAGCCCGCGTGAGGTTTGAAAATACCTTGCATTGTTTTTGCCTTTTCAACACCGAGTCCCGCAATTATTATTATTATTATTATTTACTATTATTATCATTATTATCATCATCATCATCATTATCATTGTGATCATTATGATTATTATCATTATCACGATTACTGCTACTATTACTATTACATATTGTCTGAACTCTATACCTAAGATATAATTTATCCTATACCCTACATATATGATCATACCAAGGTTATACTCTTTAAACATGTTTGGAGTTGTTGAGGTACGGATTGGTGTTGAGTTAGTTGGGTTGCCTTGAAGCAACCTGTTCGCACGTTTGCAAAAGCAACCATTTCATATGGAAAACGCTAGGGCCCACAGCGTGCCTCTCTACTATTATTATTACTGTTATAATTAGCAGTTTACTAGTAGCTACGATTATTATTTTTGTACTATTTCTATTATTGTCATTGTTATAATAGATAGTACTTATAGTAGTATTATCACTGTTATAATAGATAGTACTTATAGTAGTATGATAACAATAATAATTATTTTTGTTATCCGTATTCTGTTTCATAATATGTATATATATATATATATATGGTCCCCCCCCCCCCGGAGTCAACAGTTCACCTTTTTGCTGTAAATATGCATGTAAATTGCACTTTCCCGCTTCTAAACATGTTGCTTTAACAACTGCACTCCTTTTTTTTCCTTTTTTTTTTTCCCGAGCATCAGTACTTTCTGGGCCTCAATCTTCAATCCAGAATGTGGCACGTGCTATCACATCCTGGATTGCCCTAAGTATGGAATTGAAGAATCTACAACAACAGACAAGGAGTGCACGCTCCAAGAATCAAATTGCGGATGTGCACCGCCGGCATTTTGCCAGGGGGGAGAAACATGTTTTTGAAAGCTTTGCAGTTGTTTGAGGGACGGCCAGGATGGAATATTTTCAAAGCAGAACATCTGGGAGATCTTCAATGTTCAATGCCGGTTTCAAAACCTTGAAGAGTCTGGATAAAACTGACAAGCTTTTGGCGGGCCAGGATTGAAGATGGAATCTTGACTGCTCGACCTTCGATCCAGGGCAACACGAACTGAGCAAATGCAGACAACACCGCGGTTTACGGCATTTTATGCCAACCATAAGATCTATGTTTGAAATGCGTTTCCGTTATTGGCTTGGCTCAGTCAGTTCTTGCTTGGTTAGAACCACATGGAGTTAGATAAGGAGAAGGACAATAACACCCTTGAAATTGAGCATGATTCCAGTTTCAACTGGTCATGACAACAGTTGCGTTCTCCAATCGTTCTTTGACATCTCACGAAGCAGCAACCGGTTAAAACTGGAACTCGAAAGCATTTCAAATAGGACATCCTTTCTATGTTTGAAATTCAATAGTTGGTGACAATGGTTGAATCAAATGCGTCAAGCAACGCACAACTGAGATAGTTGCTTTGCACATTTTGCTGAATCAAACTTAATTAGAATGTATGTGGAGTTGTGCACGTAAAGCTGAAGTAACAAACACTTTCAAATTTGATGTGGATGTCAATTGCAAGTAGGGCTGAGTTCCTTCCCCCCCAGTTCATGATTTGCAGAATTTCCCTGCCAGACAAAAAATACAACCAATAATTGCAGGCACGTTGAAGCTGCCAAAGCATACTTCGTGTGCTACTCTTGTACTTAAAAGCTGTGCTTTTTGAGCTGCAGCTTCCAACGTGCGCGTTGCTTACTCCAATGTGACTTTAAGTGCACTTTGGCATGCCAATGTGACTTTCGAGCTGATTAAAGAGCAACTCCTTTTTAACGTTGGGCTGAACTTCTGCTTGGTTGGAATTTGCGTGAAGTTGCCTCAGAGTCTCAAGGCGTTTGTCACCTCCAGTCTGGCCAAAAACCTGAGTTCTGAGCAAACACATGAGTTCTCAGCAACAACCTGAGTATGGGGGTGGCATATATATATATATATCTATGTGTATATATTGGATGTGAGAAGTCGATGCTGGTTTTGCCATGCTGCAGGAGTGCAAGAAGATGCTGCTCGCCATGCTGCCGCCACTCGTTCGGTTTCGGGCTATTTGGGGTTTTTAGTTCGGTAGCTGCCTGCGTGGCGGGGTTTGGAGATGGAAGCTCGCTGGCAGGCCAGACAGTGAGCTACCTCGCAATGTTGACCGCCTATGAATCAACCCCACTTTGTTAATAGGGGGGGGTGTCCCTGGGTGAAATGTGGGGGTTCAGACCACTTTTGGAGGGGAACATCTTCATATTAGTTAATTGGGGTTGATTAACCTGGGGTCAGCATTACTTGGCGGGAGTTGAACCGCACCTTCTGAAGCCGAATGGGGAAGATAGTTTCCCCTACCTCTTATCGAGCGCATCCGAGGCAAAGCCTTTGCGTGCCGTCCGACTGCCGCGAGGAGCGACCGAGCTTCAAGCGATGCTTTCGGAGATCCCTCCAGGCCCAAGGTAGGTTTGAGTCGAGATATACAAACTAGGATCCCCAGAATGAGTTTGGCATTCCTTGTGGTTTCCCTTGAATCACCTTTCCCGCAATTGGTGGTTTGGTTTGGTGGTGAAGTGGGGTGGTAAACCCCATTGACTCTCTATAAGAACCAGGGACCCGTTCAAAACCACCAATCCAAACCACCGATTAGAGGGTACCTGACTTGCTCAGTGGAGATCCCGGGATAATTGATTTGTTTGGCCCAATCCTTCTACTGTTATCACATTCACCCCCGTTCAGCGGTAGCCAAAGGGAAACACCACAGCCCATTTGAGCCACAATCAAAGTCCGGGTAGATGAAGGGTTAGTAAGGGACAATCCCAGCCATAAAGAGTTGCGGCCGCCTTCTTAGTTCTTTACATGGTTTTGGGTAGACCATTTTAAAACCGGGTTTTGATTTTGACTCATTTGCTGACGTTCATAGCCCCGAGGAAAAGCAACAAAGACAGTCAACATAATGATCTCAGTTTGTTGGACACCAGCTTGCTCGTGCCGGTGCGAGCTTTCATGGTGAGGACAGAGGCCCCAAGCATGAAGCATGGAGGGCGTGGGAGGTTTGTCCACTTCTTTGAACGCTTGAGGATGTGCAGAACCTGGGAGTGACCATGATGGCAGAGGTGGGGCAGTTGGCTGGGAGTGGCAGATGCAAGGAGCTCGCTTGCGCAAGTGCATGTGATGATTCCTCGCTTGGAAAGGGCAGCCCGAGTGGAACACTGATGCATCTGTGTACATTCTTAGTCATATGTATTACATAGATGAATCAATGTCCTCACACAAGAGCCCAAGGGCTCACACAATGACACCCTCAGCAAAGATATGGCTCGAGCTAGGAAGGGCTGCGGAAAGATGCAAGCACTGCAGAAGGGAGCAGGCGTTGGGTCCGTTTTGGAGCATCCGGGACCTGCCTTCAGAGCTGTTCGTCGACGGGCTTCGCTCGGTCTCCACCTTTTGGCTTTTTCGGTTCGGTCAACGGGTGGCTTCCGACCTCTCCAAACCACCGGGCACCTTCACAACATATTTTTGGGGAGGCACAACCCGTGTACGCGCAATACGCGCAGGTCGTTGCTTCCATTGAGACCAAGATCCGAGAGGCCGAGATCTGCTCGCTTGAAGCCAATTGGGTTGAGAGTTCGTGCCTTCCATGCAGCTCGTCTTTTTTTTGGAGTTGGTACCTCTTTTGGGATGGGTTTTAAAGGGCGTGCAAGGGCAGCGGCCAGAATCTCATGTCTTTCTCCAGGAGCAGCCAATGGCTCTTCCTGGGTGTGGTTTTTGGGGAGTCTGGGATGTTCCAGGAGGTGTCGGATGCCGGGTTTCAAGCGCCTCTGAATTTGTCAGGCTTTCAATCTGCAGCTCGTCCCTTTCCCCTTTCAAGCAAGTCTGGCGTTTGAACTTCCTGATTCCAAGGTTTCCTTTCTGACCCTTCACCCCCAACAGCAAAATGAGACACCTGCCCCCCCCAACAAAAATCGAGAGAACACTGAGCTCTAGGCCTCTCTCGTGGGGGCGGCCTCGGGTTGTACCTGTCAGGCCGTGCAGTCGGAGGAGGCCAAGGTGCACGCGGTAGAGTCCTCCAAGGATTCGAATTCGAATTTGGATCGGTCCCGTTTCCGTGAGCTGTCGACTTGGATTTGGGGTCTCAAAAGTGGAACCCCTCGAATGGGCGTCTTTTTTTCAGGTTTTGTTGCCCAAGAAAGGTCAAGCAACTCGGAAAAAAAGAGAGACTTTTGTTCCTCTTTAAAGCAATCCCCAAGACGGCTAAGTTTTGAACAAATGAGACCCGTTTTGTATTTCCCCTTCTGATCAGGTAATCGGTGGTTTGGGGGTATGAGCCCCTGGTTCTTGCATAGGGAAAATGGGAAACCATCCCCTACCCTCCAAACCACCAAACCATGTAGGGGGAAGCTGATTCTGTGTGTTTCCTCCAACACCTCCCTCTTGGCAGTTTCTTTTATTGCCTTTTCATTCCGGTTTCTCTCCTTTCTTTTTCCCGGCTCTTTCGGGGGGCAACTCTTTCCGGGGCGGCGCATGGGATCGGTCGCCAGGACCAGCTGGAGGGCTCCAGAAAGGAGGCAGAGCAGCACCTCAAGGATCCGGGGGTGGGGCAGGGTGGGGTGGGGTGGGGTTTGAGTTGGTTCGACTCTGGGGGTACGACAGAACCAAAAAGCATGTCGACTCGCTGCGACGCCTTTTTGTTTCTTTCTTTATTCTCCAGATTTGATTTCCCGTTTTTTGCCGAGTTTGGCTTGGCGGTTCCTTCAACGTCAGTTTCTTTCGGCCAAGGAGTCGTCGGCCAAGCGGCCGACGGGTCCCACTTCCCCAAAAACGGAAATCCGTTTTTGGGAGTCAGGAGGCGCAGGATGCGGCGCAGCTTCGGGAGAACGAGCTCCAGAGCAGCTCCCAGGCAGGGCCCGAGGGGGGGTTTTGGTTTGGGTTTCGGTCATTTGGCGCGAATAGGTTTCTTTGGTTTGTGCTGGATCCTTCTCCCTGTTTTTTGAGCCAAGTCCTAGCAACATCTTGTTTTTGTTGTCGAGTTTTTCTATGAACTTTTGATGTTGGTCAACTGATGTGGGCCAGGGTTGCTTCTGGATGAATGAAGATCTTATAATTTGCAAACCTTGTGTTGGCTGTTGTTTCATTCCATTTCACCGAGGGGGGGTTCACAGTATCTTTCGCTCAACCCTTGGAGTGTAGCTGCATGCGAAGGCGGATCACTACCGGAGAGGTTTCTTGGCAAGGTTCATAAATCTGTGTCCCGGCTGTTTGGCAACTTGTTCTACTTTTGTGGGCATGCAACTTAGTTCTTCCTATCGAAGCTTATAAGCTTGGCAGCCCTGTGCCGTCAAGTTTTTCCCCCCAGCTGGTCGCTTTTTCGCTGGTGTTGTTTTGTTGTCTTCGGACAACATGTGGGACGACCGAGAATCACGCATCGTTTTGCGCACACACACAGAATGTTTTGTGGTCTTCGTTAGCGCGTGCATTGAAGAAACACCCATTGAACTTGGTAGATTCTGCCCAGATCTCTGAGGGGTGCTGAGAGCGTATTTTCTTGAAGCTTGACTGCTGCCCCTCACATGCAACGCATGCGTGACACAGCAGTTGCCGCGAATTAACGATTTCAGCGTAGACGCCCTCAACATCACGTCCTTGATTCCATTTCAATGGCTCTCGCCCTGCCAAATCTTATCAACATGTTGGAGAACAAAGGTTGTTTGTAGTTGGTTCCTCGCTTGGGCTGGGCACGGACAGGCAGTCGTTGCTGCCAAAGCCAACCTCGCCAAGAAGGAGGCGCACCGACCATGAGTACGGCTAGCTTTTTTGAGACTCGGTACCCTTTTCACTCTCTGCAAACGATATTGTTATCTGCGCTTGCTCAGCATGTTCTTTTTTTCTTTGGGGGGGACCCCTTTGTAGGTTGCTTTTGAAATGACACATACCAGGGCAACCGGAAGTTTTTGAGTGCCCCTAGTTTGACACATATGCTTGGTGCGAGCCTTGTCGACTCTGTAAATGCATTTAGGCAATCAGTGGATTGTTGTCATCGATTGAGCAATCATAACTTGGTACAAGGAGGGACAATCCGAACCCTAAATGGGTGCGGCTATCGGGCTTTTAATTCCTTTACATGGCTTTTGGTACCCGTCTTTGATGGTGACTCAATTGAGCCACAATCAAAGCCAGGGTGGGTTAATCTTAGTTACGAGAAATCCCGACCGCATATAGGTGGGGATTTGCCCCTTTTGATTGTTTGCATTATTTGAGGCAGACTCCTTTAAAGAGAGGGATTGATTGGAACTCGTTTGTACGTGCCCATCACAACCAAGCATAGAGTGAAGAATCAAAGCCGGAAGCCATCTGCGGTGAACAAGAAAGACTGGTTTAGGGATGCAGCTTCGCCTTTGCGGAGATGTGGGCTCCCGACTTATGGGTTGGGTTTGAAGGAAATCAAAAGGAACACCGTTGCGCCGGTTTGGGTACCCCGATATTTAAGACATATGTGGTCAATCCGACAACTACGGCTGGACCAGCTTTCCTGGGAAGATGTGGAGACCGATGGCCAAAGTCCGCGGTGCGGGCAGCGCTCAGCTTGGAGTTGTTGATCCATGCCGCACAGCACAATGTTCTCCACTCGATTTAAGTTCCAGTTGGTTCTGAACTGCCTAAGACGAGTTTTTCTGGCAAACCCACTCAGAATTTCGATGGACCGAGTCATATCGCGTAGCTTAAGCAAATCTAGCGGGGGTTGAACATCCACACTCTCTTTGGGTTTTGTTATCCCCTCAACCTCTCGCAGTTTTCTCTTCCATTCCTTTTGCACATCGCCTCCGTTCATTTTTTGCCTCCGATTCATAGTCCTTTTGAGGTTTGCGTGGTTAAACATAGATGGGTCCTGGTCCAGATGGATTTTGTTGCTTCCCCCCTCCCCCATTTGCCAAACCAACATGGCACTGCTCCAGATGGGTTGTGTGGCCCCATGTACGAGGGGAATCCACCAGGAGGAGCAGCGCTCCGGGGACCAGCAGGCCCTGGCCGCGGAGGCGGAGAAGGCGCAGGGAGGGGTCCGAGGGCTGGGGTGTCGGGTCCCGGGGTTGGAAGTCGTGGGATTTTTTTTGGTGGCGGGGATGTTTCCGTGATGCTCTTGGAGATTTGCACGCACATAGTACCCCACTTTTTTCCCATGGGAGTGGGTTCTGGCAGCTTGGCCTGGAAAGCTTTCATCTTGACCCTGTCGTCTTGACAAGAAAAGAGCTCGGTGTTTGATCTCAGGAGCTGCTCCGAAACCCTGCGTTCACTGCGAAGCTTCTTCTAAAGTCCCCGACGTGAAGTGCGACGAATTAAAGCTGTTGGCCTGCATTCCTGATGCCTCACATGCTTAAGCGAGCATTGCTCAGACATTTTCAGTTCCTAACAAACTACTATGCATGTTCTCACCTGCTGAAAACGCAGGGTGCGTTACGGGCGTTGTCACCATGTGTTTCCCTTGAAGTTCTTAAAGGGAATCGGTTTCATTGGACCCAGACCGCGAACATCGGGCTGAAGCGTGCAGGCGGAGACGGCGGAGGCCTTCTCCGGGAGCTTCAAGATTCTGAAGGCGCGGTCCGGCGGCCGATCTCGAGGTCGCCAAGGGAATTGGCGGAGCTCGCCGGGCCGAGTTTCGTTCTCCCTGGGTGAAAAACAAACCCGGTGTGGACTCAAGGGTAATGGTCATATGGCTCTGATCTTCTTTTTTGGAGCCACCTGAAAAGTGGTTGGTGGACATGAATCCCCAGCAAAATCTGATGTCCACAGGGCCAACGATTGAAGTTCATGGCCATGGCTGACGGCGGACCGGGCCGAAAGAGCCCAGACTGGGCGCCAGACACATCCCTCAAGCGGATTCCGAGGAAGGCAGCTGGGCAACTTCCCCGAAGGAGCACCTGGAGGCCCGGGCAACGATTTGGACGGGCGGATGGGGTTTGCAACGCACAATGAGCTGCACACCGTCCCAAGAATTAGGGGGATTCCCAAGACAAATAGAGTACCCCGAGAAAAGGCACTTTTGAAGAACCCTCGGCACCCACAGAACATGCAGCATAGTCTGATTAGATTGCCAGGCCGCGGGTTACTCATGCACTGTTGGCGAAGTGGAAGCTGCGATGCTCGCATGTAAGATTCTAGGCCGAGAATTCATCACGCCCTTAAGGGTGAATTACCTGCCAGACCTGAGTCAGGGTCGGTCCGAAGTGCCAGCACTTGGATTTGTGATTCGCGGTTTTGGGAGGTTTTGCAAGCCCATTGCATTGGGTTTGCAGGTTTTTGTCTGGATTTCCCCCAAAGGAACACCTACCCATGATCCAAGCCCTCTCAAAGGGGCCATACTGTGTGGATGGACGAACTCATGCACCACCTCAGAACCCCTTGAACGATGATTGCCCTGTAAATATCACATTGGTCTGTAAATATCCAACACATTTTTTTCCCGTGGTTTCTCATTTCGGTGGTGCGCAAAACGGAGTCTCTTCATCGAGCCATAACGGGCAATTCGGTCGGCTCTGTGAAATTTTTGAGGCCTGGCGCTTTTTTGAGGCCCTGGCGCCGGTGCTGAGCAAGCTGCCCATGGAGGAGTCCCTGAAGACTGCGGCGGTTCCCGCGGGGAAGCCCAAGCTCGGGGTGCGGATCTTTTGCCACTCCAAGTGGCTCAAGTCTCTTTTTTTTTTTTGGGTAGGGCTCGGCACCTGTTTTGGTGGGCTGGTGTTGAGAAGCCAAAAGGAACTTGAGACAAACCAAGAAATGCTTGGATCTTCGACCCCAACAAACTCTTTTCTTGATGTTTTTCCCACCCCACAAAGAGTTGCAACCACTTTTTGAGGGGAATGGCTTTGCTCTATTTTTCTTGCCTCCCGAGGTGCCTTCTCTTCTAGGGCGACGGTGTGTATCACGTCTTGCCTTGAGCGGACTCGAATATAGATGTTTTTGGGGATGAAACCAAAACCCAACATTTGGGGCGATCGCCACGGGGCCGCCGGGGCGTGGTTTCCAGGTCCTCATGCAGGCGCCTGCCTCTCGGGGGGTCTTCGATGCCACAGTGCTGCAGCAGCTGGAGAAGAGCTTCGAGGAGAGCTTCCAAGGGGGGATGGGCTTGCCAGGGGGCCAAAGCGGCCCAAAAAAGTTGGCCTTTCTTCTGGGTTGGGCTTGATGATTGCTGGTATGTTGGTCGGAAAATCCGAGCTTGAACCCAGTACCCTTTTGGGCTGCGCCATGTTAATCAGCGAGGAGAAAATGCTGTGACTGCTTGGAACAGAATCTTTGTGTGGGTGTGTGTCAAAATAGAAATAGTGGAGCCTCCCCCCACGCCCCCCGCAGGTTTGCTTGGAAACCACCCTAAAAACGGTTCCATCTAACCCACGAAAAGTTATTCACTTTTAGCAGGGAATCTGAGGACAGCCCAACAAGGTAGAGCCTACTCGTGAGTTTTTCTAGGTGATTCAGGCGATATTTGTTTCGCTCGTTTTGGAAGGCAGATGTTTGGGGCCAAGATTGTCTCGTGTGCAAGAGCCTTGCGAATCTTTGCAGCGCGGCAAATCACCCATGGCTTCCCGAAAGGGTTGCCTTCGACAGTGCGGCTATGCCGGGCTTGCGTTTTGGTACTGTAAATGGGGTCTCACAATAAGAAAGGACACGACCATGTTTGAATTGGTTAGAAACGTTTACTTGCGAGTGCGAGAAATGGGAATGAGAAATTGAATGGCCCCGACTTAAACCAGCCCCTATGGCTTCCTTTAAGGGAATCCCCAATTTCTGTCCCGCATTCCCTGAGCATCAGCGAGTTTATATGGGTGTGAAATTGAACTAGGGACCCAAACTGGTGGACATCAGAATTCGGTGGGGATTTATGTCGGCGTGTTTTGTTTGGAGTTGGTACCCATTTGTGGGTGGTTTTGAAGGAAAACCATCATTCTTGCAGGGTCCGTAAAAAGAAAAGAAAAGACAGACTTAAAATATTGGATTTCCTTGTTACAGCAGGTAGTAGAACCACCTACTAAAATTTCCCTTTGGGGGGCTTTGGGCGCTCAACTTGGAAGTCTCAACAAGGTTATGGAACTGTCTAAAGACTTAGCCTCCTTTTGGCTTTCAATTGAACAAGAGGCATGTCTCCCAAAAGTCGGGGTCGATTCCTCTCGGAGGAGGAATCTACGCCCCGGTCGAATAAGGATTTCAGTGAGCCCCCCCAAAACCTTCCAGGACCCCCCCCCCCCCCCCCCGACCCGGACCCTTTCCAGGACCCCCCCTTCCCCCCCCATCTTTCCATGACCCCTCCTGAAAAGAAAACAGCCTTCGAGCCGTGGCCCCCTTCAGCTCCCAACTGTTGGTCGCGTCCTCAGGACCGCCGGGCGCAGCTGACAGAGCTGCTGCAGCTGGAGGAGCCCCAGCGCCAGGCGGATCCCTTCGGATGGGATCGGAGGATGCCTCCGGGAAGTCGGAGGTATATTGGCTTCCTCGGGATGCGTGGGATATTTTTTGTATATTTCCACTTAAAAGCCTCAGCCCGCAGCCCTACCAAAGGAAAACTCATGTAACATGGGTCAAGGTGATGTTTGAAACCAACCTAAGAAATCTTGGGATCCCTGAAATGGGTGTCATTGCTTGAGGTACCTCTTTTTTTGGGGATTTGGAAGGAAAACCAGCCAGGAAATTGATCAACATGTGAGCCACTTGCTCCAAACCAGGAAACGGGTAGATGAAGGCGATGAAGGTGAGGGACTTTTCCCCTTGCCATAACTGGCTGTGGATATCAACGCCTTTTTGGGGGGTCAAAGTTTTGCGCCAGACCGAGGGTTTCATCTCGCAGGTCTCCATGCCCATGGGCACCACATCCCCCAATTGCGCTTTTAGTTGGTTCCCCCGGAAAGTTCTTTGCTTTTGGCAGGGGATCCGAGACCTGCTGGTCGGGCAAGCCCCGAAGCCCCTTTCGTTTCGGGGACGCGGAGCGTGCCGAGGCCCGGGCGGAGGCGTGTCGGGAGGCCCAGGCGCAGCTGGAGGAGGCGGAGGAGAAGCAGAAGGACCGGAGGCGAAATGTCGGATGGGTTTCCCACAGCTCGGGCACCGGGTTCGTGTTCCCCGAGTGATTTTGGGGCAGCGTATTTCTTCAGGGGGGTTCATAGGAGGGTTCCAGGGGCTCTTGGGAGACCAATTATGTTTGTTCTATCCTTTTTTTGCGGTGGTTCGGAGGCTAAGGAGGGGTTTCTCATTTAAGGGGTTCGAACAATCCAAACCACCAATCAAAGGGGCACCTGACCAGCTCCGTTTTTCCCCAACAGTTGATTCAGCTGTGGGGTTGATAGGCCCAGACAGGCTTGTAAGGGGTGCTTTGGGGCAGATTTCAGGTTGTGCCCCAAGGGCATGTGGGTGAGGTGGCAAAGAGCTGGACAGGGCAGGAAGTTGGCACCTTTTGAGAGGCGTTTTTTTGCAGTTGCAAGTCTGTACCTTCGATGCTATGACTTCATTCCAGACTCAATCGATAGGGGCTCGCCGGAATGTCGTGACCTGGCATTGGGTCGCTTCAATCCAAGGGTCAGTCTTGGTAGGAGTGCTCCGCCAACGTCCTGGCAGCGAAGCAGCACCAGAAGGAGGCGTTGAAAAGTGGAGGAGTTTTCAACTGGGTGTGTTTGGGTATGTGTCAATATGTTTGGGCCCCCCCCAAAAATGGTCCCATTGTTTTTCTTTCTTGTGGACATCCTTTGATTCAGGGAGTGCTTGGGCACCCACAAACATATTTATTCTGTTTGGTTTCCTTGTGGTTTCCGGAAAACGGCAAAACAGATACCGAGCCTCAAGCCGGCAACTTGGACAGGCCGCGTGCGGTCTCAAGGCTGCTGGGGAGGCGCTCGAGCAGTTCGAGCCCAACCTCAAGGTGCTGCGTTGGGGTGTGGCTTCCGTTGGTGGGGTGCCCCGAAACAAAAGGAAAGCCATGTCAAATAAGCGCAGGTGATATCCCCAACAGCATGCGGTGCTCTTTTTAGTGCTCGCACCACCCCGCAGCCCTCGCAGAACCTCGTGGAACCCTCTTGGAAGCCTGGTGGAACCCTGCTAAAGCCCTGCTAAAGCCCTGGTGGAACCCTGGTGGAACGCTGGTGGAACCCTGGTAAAACCTTGCCTCAGGGCCACCCAGGACCACCCCGGAGCCTATCTGGGCTGAGACCACAAAGCTTTCAGCTGTTGGGGGAACATTTCGCATTCTCTGAGAACCAGAAATGCGCTTGCCCATGGACCCAGCTTAAACATCACTTGGGACAATGCTTCCCTTAGCTTTTTAGCTTTTTAGAGTTTAGTAGTAAACAAATCACTCTACCACTAAACAATGTTGATCAAGGTTCCATGGGTTCGCCTCGCTTCTTTGGTTTTTTGGTTGTTGCTCCGCTGATTTGGAACCGAGGACCGCGTTGCTTGTGGCAAATGTAGCCGCTCTTGGGCAAATTGAGACATGTTCTGCGAGCCAAACAGCTACAGCGATACGACTTAGTACTTGGCGCTTCGAAGAATGGGCATGACGTGCCTGAGACACAAGGGTGTGTCTTTTGGTTTCCCAGGTTTCTCTTAAAACCACCAGCAAACTCTAACAAAGACACACCTTGTGTCACTGGCCGACACATTGAAAGCCTGTTGGAGGGACTCAGGCACCTTACGGCTGGTTTTTGGCACCGAATCGCCCGTGGGACCTACCAAAGGTGCTCGCCCTTTTGCTCGGGCCCGGAGCAGCCCAGTGCAAAGCACAGAAGCTGGGGTCCTTGTGAAACATTTGGGCAACAGTGGGCTGGACCAGCCAGGCAGCGATGGAGCTGCGGGACGAGCAGCAGAAGGATCCAAAGCGGCAAAGCGAGCTTCCTTTGGGGTGATGTCCGGAAGGGGCATGTACCTTGCTTAAACCCGACCGCCAGCTTCCATGGGAGCGTAAGGAACCCTTGGCCCGAGCCATTGAGAGAGCCGCACTGCGGCCCTTGGCGTGTCCGATTCGCAGGTTCTTCCTTTTTTCCCCGGATAGCTGAAAGCTATAGGTGTTCTAACTTCTAACAAGGAGGGGAACGTGATTTGCGAGATTGATGGGCTAGGGGGCGTGCGGTTTGGGTTGCTGGTGTAGGTGCTGATTGGGTGCTGTTTGAGGTGCTGATGGCAGTGCGGGCGCATCTTTTCAAGATTGACGGTAGGGTGCTAGGGGCATGCAGTTTGCTCGTGCAGGTGCTGTTTTGGGGGGTGACGGTGCGCGCGCATTTTGGCATCTTGACGGTAGGACGCAGGGGGGAATGCAGTTTGGGGTGCTGCTGCTGATGGTGCTGTGGGACGCAGTTTGTGGGGAGCTGTTTGAGACTGTGCGGGCGCATTTTGCGATATTGACGCTCGGGTGCTATTGGGCATGGAGGTGACGGTGCAGGCGCATGTTTGCATCTTGACGGTAGGGCGCAAGGGGGCATGCAGCTTAGGTGGTGGTTTGGGATTCTGTTTGGGGTGCTGGTTAATTTTCGCAAGATTGACGGCTGGGTGTCTTGTGGGGTGCTGTTTGGGATGCTCTTCAGGGGGATGGTGCAGGCGCATTTTTGCTCGATTGACGGCCGGGTTTGCTTGGGGCGTTCTTTGGGGGGGGTGCTTTTGGAGGTGCTGGTGTGCAAGCGCTGCTATCTGGGGTCTATGCTGGTGTATTTTTTTTTGAAAGGGCGGGCCCTGTGCAGCGCACACATGCCATGAGCTTCGAGTCTCCGCTTTCCGCCCGAGATTTCTAGCGAACCGACGCTGGCCAGGAGCTGGAGGCCTTCCTGGGCGTCGTGCGTGGCTTCACGGAGCTCAAGGAGGGCTCGAGAGCTCTCCGGAATCGGCGCTTGGGACGGCCTGGGACTGACCGGGGTGGGAAGCCAGCCGAGTGGGAAGACGAGTTGGAGTGGAGAAACTCTTCATGTCGTTCAAGTCCGCGCCATGTTTAGAAGTTGCCGCAATATGTTTGAACATTTGTGGATGAGCAGCTAGCCAGACACAGCATGCGGCTTTTGTTTCAGGCCTGTGGGACAGCAGTGCTCTACTTGGGCCCATGTCGCCGGAGGGTGGCTCCTTATGATTTTCTTTGAGCGGCGCTTTGGCGCCTGCAACTGACTGTTCAAACGCCGACGGGTCGACAGCACGACACATGCCACGAATCGCTAACCACATTCGGCAGTCGAATTACCCGGGGCTTTTAGCGTCGAGATCCCATGAAAACACCAAGCTGGTGGCTCGAGCGCCGCTTGGAATTCACGGGGGGTAGTTGCTTCCAACTCCGATATGGCCGAAATCGCAGCGACCAGCTCTGGTGAGGGACCTGGGTTGGTCTTTTTAGGGTATCCTTTTGGGGATGGTTGCAAAGGACACCAAGGGAAAACCACTCAAAGCTAGCCAGCTTGGCGGAGCAGTGGCTCAAGTTAAGCAGATAATTCGTTGAGACAGCAGAGAGCGATGTACTATTATTGCGTGGAAAACACCTTCATCACCATCAAGTCGCCCACTTCGTCAGCGGGAAGATCAGCTAGTCTTCGTGCTCGGCTGCGTGAGAAGACTCCCGAACCTGATGAGGTTGAGACGCTGGAGGAGCGTGCCTCTGCTCTGATATCAGCCTTTGTGGAGGCGCGCAACGCCAGCTCCAACGGATGCGCCGCCAATTTGCAGGATTCGCTCTCTCTGCTTCCCTCCCTTCCCTCCCCCTCTCCTGAGAGGAACGACACACACAATGTGCAGGTGGCTTCAGTAGGAAGTCGAGGGCATCCAGACTTCTGTCGGAAACCATGCCTCCTCATGGTGCGGCAGCTTGGGTGCCCCAACGGCCGCCGTTGCGGGTTTTGCCATCATCCCCATGTTCCTTCTGTGACGCTGGACAAGCGGCAGCGCCTGGCTGTACGCAGCCTCAGTGAGCAAGAACTGTTGAGCCATGTGCTTCCCCATCTTAGGGCTCGGGCGGAGCAGGTGCCGCGAGCTCTTCGAGTCATCGATCTCATGGAGGAGCATTTGGCATGCTTAGAGGTTCCTGAGCCCTCCAGCTCCAGCACACTCATGCTTAAGGATCTGAGCCGAGCCGCCCGCAAACTGAGCTTCAACCGCCTCATTGAGATGTGCCCTTGTAGCAAACTAGAACCTATTCAGTCAGCCATTCTGGAGTTGCGAGCCAGCTACGGCGAGGCAAGCGCTGAGTGATCCGGATCCAGCATTTCTTTGGATTGCAGAATTAGCATTTATTTATTTTTTAAAGAAGGCATGCTTGATTCTGCTTTGTAGCGTTGACGAGTACTGACCCGGATCCAGCAATCTTCCAGAATGCAGAATTAATTTTGGCCTCTCAGAGAAGCGTTCAAAGGCTGATGCTTGTGTTGCCGCGAGCATCTAGCAAATTTGTCAACGCCTCCGCGCTTTTTCCGGCGGCTCCTTTGGCAATCTAAGATGTTGCATTCCCAACCACCTGAATGCCTGAATGAATTGTCGAAGAGAGCCGCCCTGTAACAGTGGCATCGTGGTTCGCGCTGGTTCGCTCTCGTCCATTCATTTTTTTTGAATGCTGAATGCTGAGCGTGTGTCCATGAGTTGGGCTCAAGTGTTTGTTCATGCTCGCCAACCGTCTCATCAGAAGCCCGCCAAATGTGAATGCGTTTTGCGCGTTTGCGGCTCGCCGTGTCTTGGCTTCTAGAAAGCGAAACTGCCTGCGCTTAGTCTTCGTTCTGGCAGCTCTGTGGCAATCTATGATGTTCTGCCAGGTGGCATGTGGAGACGCATCCTCAACCAGTTCTTGAATGAATTGTCTCCGCAGTTCGCAGGAAGACCATTCGCCCGTTCCATCTGAACTCGTGCATTCGAATGCTGAGCTTGTGTTGGCAGTGCCATGAGTACCCATCAAGTGAACACGATAGGCATTCGGAATCAGCCCACACTGATGGCCCATGCAATCTTCTTTGGACAACACTTTCCCACAAGCTCAAGGGAGTATGTGCTCAAGCGCCCTCATACCCACCAACTGGCTGACCAGAGCCCGCCAAAATTTCATGTGCTTTGTGCGTTCGCGGCTCGCTGACGTGTTTTGGCAAGAAAAACAGCTATTTTGATTCAGATCTCCAGAAAGGGTAATGTTCGTCGCTACGCCCCAGTCAATCATGACTGCACTCTGGCTTGTCTCTCATGGTCAATTTTTTTAGGTGAGCTCCCGCTCCCCCTTGAATCGTTGTGCCAGCTGAACTGTGTCGGCCGCTCGGCATGCCGTAGCCATTTTGGCGCAAGATCAGGGCCGCAGGTGGATCCCCTGGAAATTCCCCTTGGATATCCAAGGCGTGTATCGGATGGGCGACCACTTTCTGACGACTGTCAGAGGGCTGGATACCCTATGCTGCTCAAGCTCACGTCACCAAGCAATGTGATGTTGGATCGCATTGCTCTGCATTTCCCTTTCTCGGCGTGAATCCATATTCTTTCTGTATTTCGAACTTTTTCCTTTGATGGAGTTTGTTTCCCCTTTGCCGCACAACCCACCCACAATCTGCACTCCAGGTCACGTTTGATCTGCGTTTGCACGATTCACGTGTTTGGAGCAACTTTGTCGTGTCTTCTTTTGGACAACCGCAAAATGGTAGTTTTCTTTGGTTTCCCTTTGAAACCGATCAAGCAAGGGTGCCCTCAAATGACACAACCATATGAGACCGCAAGCACCTCAGTCGCAAACAAGAACACGTCAGCACTGGGAGTCAGATGGTACATCTTGGATGCAGTGAGGTTGCAGATGGTTGCCGAATAGCTCGCATGCCATCCGAGTTGTAAAGAGTGAGCTTTAGGCACTTCAGGCCTACATTTATACAGCTGGATTTGTGCTGTCCTGTTTTCCCTTGCCATTCGGCTTCGATCCAGCAGAGAGATGTGGATGACGTTTCCCTCAAGGGGTGATGCCTTCTTGAGATGTTTCAGTGTTTGGTGGCCGCATCGAAAACCGCGCCAGGCTGACAAGATGCAGGAGCACGAGCTTGAATTGCAGGCGGGGTGTGCAACAATTCTTTGCGCATTGGTTTGGAGGCATCGCAATTCCATGCCTTGAAGAAAGCGAGTCACGCTAGCGGGGTGGAATGAGTGCTCCGAGCTTGGGGGATCTATGCTGAAAAGTGCCGTTGTTCCACCCTGGCTTCAGATGCTGAACACATAAGGGGAAGCTGATGACGCGTTTACGTTGGGATCTTTAGACTTTAACTTTTTGGGACAAGGATTGCCATTGACCGTGTCCGGACCAAAGAGACCCAAACCATTGCGCCCGGCCAGGCGGTGATCGGCTTCAAGGGCACGGTGCAGTCCAGTCTCATTTTGCACCCTGACCAGGACCGCCGCTTCTTTTTTTGGTTGGGGCGGTCGGGGGGTTCTTCTTTTTATTGCTTCTCTTTTTTTCGGGACCAAGTTTGGGGGCGGGGGGCGGGGTGGGGATGTTGCATCTGATACCTTCCGAGCCAGAGCCAGGGCCATGGTTCGGTTCCTACCTGGTTTGGGGAGGCCTTAAATCTTGATAACCATAGGCGTCCTATAGTCCTGGTAGACCTACTGGCCAGAAAAAGGGAGATACTTGCAATCCCTGAAGAGGGCGTCTTTGGGACCACAGCTCATAACACCGGCATGTCCGCGATTTAGAGACCCGCTTTATACGGGTCTGTCTCAAAACTGGGACCCTTGTTGGCCGCAATTCCCAGGACGAAGGCAAACAGCCTCACCATTTCTCCACAACCCGTGTTGACCACGGCAAAAGCAAAGCGATCAAAGGACGCCGAGCATGAAGCGGGCGTGGGCAGCGCTCGGAAGTGCTGTCTCTCCCCCTAGAGAGCAGAAACAAAAAAACCATTGACTTTGGGGTCTACATGGTTCTAAACAGGTGTCCTTTTGGGGGATAGAAATGGCAGATGTCTTTCCCCAATAGGTCTGCCAGGGCCATTGATTTCTCAACTAACTGGAGCCGGAACTAAGTAGGAAGCGCGTGCTTCAAGTCTTCCTATGCCGGCGCAGGCCGGATTCTGTGGCAAGGGTTCCCGTATTTTGGCGACCCCAAAATGGAAAAGGGGGAGGGTCAAAAAAAAGAGTGGGGCGGGGGGGGGGGGGGGGTCAAAAAAGGAGGGGGGTCAAAAATTAAGAACGGGGAGGGGGGGGGTTCCAAACAAAGGAATGGGCGGTCACAGGATTGGGGGGTGGGGGGGGGGGGTCAAACAAAAAAGGGCTCCCTTTTTTCACCCTCCAAACATGCTTTTTTAACCCTTCCTTTTTTTTGAACCTGACACCCTGTTTGGGAACCGTTTGACACCTTCCCCAAAATAGACTCAACCCCCTCTCGCCGAAAACGCGTGTCGCCCTGGCAAGGGTTCCGGTGGCGAGTCACCCGAATCGGGACAGGAGCACCTCATCTTTCCCTTGGGTTGCACAGCGGCTTGGCATGAAAAATGTCCAACTCAGGTTTGAGGTTAAACTCGCTTGGGGATCAGTTGGACAGGTGAGGAGGCACTTGCTTCGGGTCGATGGATGTTCCATGGCCAGACCAAGGGGTTTCAAATGTCTCAACTTAGGTGGTTCTGCGGAACCTCATCAAGCGCACGCAAGCGCCGCTTGGCTAGGGACGAAAGTTGGTCGCATCTTAAGTCTGAGGGAAAGAGGAATCTGACTTGGAGCCGATTTTGTTTGACTCGCTCAATTCGGGTGTGGCGGCTTTTTTGGAGGACCCTGGTTTTAGGGTAAAAGGAAAGCCATCATTTTGGTTTGGGTCCAAATCCTAAAACAAGATTGACAGACCCATTTTCGCCGGAGTCGCCTCGCTTCGGCTTGC